TAGCTCGCTAGCAGCCTCGCACCGAGGACCTATCCACGTCATCATTTACCCAGAATGCTTTGTGTGGAAATAAAATGGCTCCGTCTGTGTTAAAATATATTTTTAAACTTTTAGTTTAAAATTTTACAAAAGTAAACATCCTACAGTATTTTTACAGTCTTTATTTTACAGTTAAAATATGTGTTTATTAAATAAAGCCTAATGTTACAACTAATCATGATCCCTTTTAAACTGTAGAGTAAAGGAGACCACCATGTTGACGCTGTCCTCTGTGGGGGTGTGTTGCAGGCAGCCTGCGGTCTGGGCGGAGCCTCGGCTGTCAGGTTTGTCAGGAGAAGCAGCTCTTCTTCAACATGTCCGTCCTGCAGCCCGTGGAGCTGCTGTCTCTGGCTCGGCTGGAGATCAGCTTCCTGTGGGAGCCCCTCAGACCCGCCGAGCTCCTGCAGGGCTCCCGGGCCGTCAGCATGTCCCTGCACAAAGTGATCCGGGCCACCYTGAGGGGAGCGGACCCCCGGGCCGGTCGGAGACTCCTGCTGTCTCAGTCGGTCCAGCTGCAGCTGGGGCCCTCCACCATCACCCTGGACCTGACCTCGGTGGCAGAGAGCTGGCGTACGCCGAGTCTGAACTACGGTCTGGTTCTGGAGCTGCTCCCTGTCAGTGCAGGTCCTGACGAGCTGCTTCCCTTTTACCCCGGGAACCTGCTCCCCTCAGAACCAGCCCCCACGTTTCCTCTGGTCCAGGCCTCGCTCATCGTGGTGTCCCTGAACCCTCACCAGTGTCGCTCCCGGCAGAGGCGCAGCGCCGTGCGCCTGCCGGTGACGCTCAGCAGCGTGTGCAAGGCTCGCCGCCTCTACGTCGACTTCAAGGACGTGGGCTGGCAGGACTGGATCATCGCCCCTCAGGGCTACATGGCCAACTACTGCCACGGAGAGTGCCCCTTCCCGCTGAGCGAGAGCCTGAACAGCACCAACCACGCCATCTTGCAGACCCTGGTGCACTCTCTGGACCCTCAGGACACGCCCCAGCCCTGCTGCGTCCCCGTGCGCCTCTCGCCCATCTCCATGCTCTACTACGACAACAACGACAACGTGGTGCTGCGGCACTACCAGGACATGGTGGTGGACGAGTGCGGCTGTCGATGAGGTCACAGTTTGTAGTTTCAGCCTCCAGACAACCAACACGTTACATCATGTTTGCTCGTTTTTAGGTGGTTTAGTAGTTAGTGAGTTAAATTGGAATATTTTTTACTGCATAAATAAAAGATTTGAATAAATGTTGATGTTTAAAAATAAAATATTTTTCAAGCAGTGTTGCAAAGATCAGGGGTTCTTAATCTTTTTGACCTCGGGGCCCAATCTGTTGAACATAAAGTGACACGAGGCCCAGTCAGACATTACCAATGTATGGATC